TGCCCCCCAGCTTCAAGGCACATGTGACAATCCATTTGACAAAACGGCCCCTCATTACTCAAGTTCTCACGTCCATTAGTTCTCTCTACCTCAAGTCATCTTCTCCAGTGCACGTGCATTGGGTCTTGCCATCACCCACAACTCCTCCACCTTCAGAATCACCAATACAAACATCCTCCACACACCACTCCTCCCTCCCCTGCCTTGCTCACTCCTCCCACTGAGACCATCCTTCAGTCTCATCAGGACCTTGGGTTGGTTGCTCCAGCGTCAGTCTCACAGTGCATCAACATCTCTTGACTTCCCTCTTTGTCCAGCAGGGCCTATGGTTCAGCAATTTTATCACACTTCCACCCACACTTCATACTCCCTGGCCCTTTTAGCATTGTTGTTTCCCTTGTCTAGTAAAATCTCATTCCTGGTGAACCCAGCGATCTACATCCAGCCCCCAGCAGCTGAACCCTTCTGAAGCAAGTCACACACCAAGCAGATCGGTTTTACAGTACATGCAGAAAATCTCATCTCAGATGAATACACTTACTACATTTCGCTGATTAACTCACCCTCCTTCCTTTTACAAAAACTTTTGCAAAGCTCCTCTCTGCCTTTGCTGACAGCTGCCCTCACACCACATACACACACAAACACATTTGTCCCTCCCTCATTCTCAGTAGAAAACTTGCCTGCCGCAGTACAAAGAACACAGAAGCTGTGACACGAGGACTCTGTCATTGTCTAGATGCCAAACATTCAAAACTCTCCCTCCACCTGCGCTTTGGATTCCTTCCCTGCCCATCTCCTCCGGAGCCTTACCCTCTCTATAACTCTTCTCTCTCAAGCATAGTGTCTCTCAGCTGAATCCTTTTGTGCACACCTAAGGACCTCCCACGTACTGAGCCTCTTATGCCCACTCACCCACTTCTCTAGCTCTCTCATCGCAATCAAAACGCTTGAGTTTTCTATCCTCACTGTCTCCTTTCCTATCTCTCCATTTTCTACATGCTCCCTAACTTCTCATTCTGGCTTCCACTCAGTTCTCCATTAAACTAGTCTTGCTAGGGTCACGTACCTAGGTTTAATGGGCATTTCACAGTCCTCATCTCACTCCACCGCACAGCAGCAATAACGCCACTGATCACACCCTCATCGTTTCAAACACGTTCTCTCCTGGGTTTGGGTACGCAGGACTCTCCGTGTCTTCTCCTTACCTCTCTGACTGCCACCTCTCCTTCAAACATTCATTCTCCTCCACTTGGCCATTAAATATTCAACACGTGGTGCTGGGCCTTATTTTTTTTCACTCTTTGTTCTCTTCCTTCTTGTTCTTATCAATTACAAACTTGCACAGATGACTTACAAATGCACATCTCTAGACCAGACGTTCCATCAGAGCTTCAGACACATTTATCCACCTGCCAGCTTGTCATCTCCATATGGATGTCTCAAAAGTGCACCTACAGTTCCAGAATTAAATTCTTGATGTTCCCATCCACCAATCTATGATCCTTTTCTACTTCCATGATCTCGGCAAAAGACACTCCCATCTTTCCTGTTAAATAAGCCAGATATCTAGGAATCAACCGTAACTTCCTTTTCGCCCTCACTCACATATTGATTCTAACATCTGGTCCTTTCGATTTTACCTCCTAAGTATCTCTCAGATCCATTCTCCCCACAACCCAAGCCACCATCACCTCCTGTCTCTATGACTTCGGTAGTCTCTTTCTACAGCAGCCTAGATCATGCAACATTCTCCCGGGAACCACACTTTACCCCTCTCACTCAGAAGTCAAAGTAATCTTTTGGAAATAGAATTCTGAGAATGCCACTCTTCTGCTTAAAACCCCTCACCAGCTTCCACTGCTCTAAGAATGAAGATGAAACTCTATCCTGCTTCTCCAGGCAAATGCCATGATCTTTCAGGTCATGCTCCTTCCTGCCACAAGGCCTTTGCACATGTTGTTACCTCTGTTTGGCACTGCCAATTCCTTAGTTAAGATTTCTCTTGTGGCTCGAAGTCAAGTCTCCCTACTATAAAATATCCTCTGGTGTGGTTTCAATTTTACAATTATCGGTGTGATTGTTTGACTAACGTCTTTCTTCCCTAGCTGGGGGAAGCTCTGTGAGCACAGAGACCACGGTTGGCCTGGCTCACCATTGTTCTGCCCAGTGCACAGCGTAGTGTTAAGAGTAAAGTAAACAACCAACAAATATTTGTTAAAGCAATAAGTGAATGAATGATGTACGACAAGTATTCTTCTTTGTGTGGCTCTATGTGAATATAAATATATCATCTAATTCATAACTTAATTCTTGGAAGAGGATAATTTTCTTTAAAATTAGCTCTTAGAATATAGAAGTAGTATGTAGTAAATCCTCTGTAACCACATGTTCCCCTTAGATTAAAAAAAAATAGTAATCTGCTTGTCTAGCAGTTCTATTTCAGATTTCCTTAATAGAATGCAATATTATTCCAGTTACTGTGGAATTTGAAATAAAGGAAGTATTTTGCTTTTCAGTTTGAAACTCTTCGTTTCTCTTCTTTTTTTCTTTTTCACTCACTGATTTGCATTTCAGCTTCTACTTGTCCCTACTCACCAGCCTTTGCTTCCTACCAGAGGCCTTCCAGGATGAAAAGAGCTGCACTGGGGGCTTGGAGCTCAGCCACGTTGGGGCAGTCATAGTAGCTGCATTGTCCAGGGCGGCGCCTGTTACTGTCAGAGCCCTGGGCTCCTGGGCTCCAGCTCTGGTACACATTGTCTGCACTGCTGTTCCTCTGACGAGTTGTTTCTCTTGTTCAAAACTTGGCTTTGCAGTCTGCGTTATTCCTATTGTAACCTCACATGCAACACAGGATCCGTCCGTATCCGCTGAGAAGGTTTTCTCTCATGCTTCAAGCTGAGAGAGCCCTTGGTCCCTGTGTGTGGGCTACACCCTCCCGCTCTGTCCTCCAGGAAAGGCAGGAGGTGCTCCTTGCGGAGGTCACTTAGATGCAGATCCAAGCACATTTGTCTCCAGTTCCCCTGCCCATCCGTACACACCAGCTTATTCCTCCTCCTTCTCCTCCCCGCTTCAAAGCCTGAAGCATCAGCATCTCCTCTCTCGGTTCCGGGGCCACGCTCCACTCTGTGCTCTCCCTCTCTGCCCCGCTGTGCACAGTTTCCTTCACACACTCTTCTTTCCCCCGCCACTCAAGCACGAGTATTCCTCAGGCCACCACCTTATCATCTTCTCTTTGCACTTGGCCCACTCGCCTTGAGAAATCTTTACTCTGAACTGTGTAGTGCCAACTCAAACCTACACCCTGATTTTTTGGTGTATATATTCAACACTCACTTGCAGATATAACTATTCACCACTGTTTTCATTGAACATAAACGCATGAGAGGCAAAATAGAAAGGGTGACACTTGCACAGGAAGTCCCTACTTCTAGGGGCAGAGCCTTGCAGTGGCCTCTGGTTCCCATCACACAGGATCTACTCAGCTATAACCAAGCCCAGGTTGTGGCTTCCTCTGAGTGGGGACAGGTTGCAATAATCATCCTCCTGTGTGATAACATCTTTCTGAAGGGGCAGGGGACATTCTTGTCACATCACCAATACAGCCCAGAATATTAATATGCATGATACATTTATGAGTATACTCTCTCTTCCAAGGTTTGGAAAGATATGGGAGAAGTCATATAACTCCAGAAAAACTTCATTGATATTAGCCATGGAGAAATTGTCGTCTGAAAACCTAGTGGTAGAAATTTCAGGCCCTCGCATCAAGTACATTTGATATAGAATGTTGTTTTATAAACTTACCCTTAAAATCGGACACTATATACAACGAAATGATTGACTGTAATGTAATTATTAATTATAAAATGTCTATTTGCTTTACAAGAGAAACAGGATGCCTAGAAGTCCCTGGTTTTGTATTTAATTTAATTAGTGAATTTAATACATGCCCCTAGATTGCTCATTTTACACTTTTGCTGAAGGAAAGTGCCGAGCTTGTCAGAAAGAATTACTTACAAATTGGCTAATTAATTGCCTCAACCCTTATGCAATGAGATTCACATGGAAATAGAAAAGGACACTCTAAGGACAGACAAAAAAGTCTGCATAGGATCATACTTCTTGTCATCAGCTCTAAAGAAAGGTCTGTTTGTGGACATCTAGTCAGTAAAAGAGCTGCTTGACTAATAAAGTAGATCGGCTTCAGGGAAAACATACATATATGGAAATTTTTATTGCTTCTTATTCAATTAGAGAGTAAAGAATATAGGGTATTAAAAACTAACTTTTAAATTTTTGGTATGAAATGCATGTTCACAGATATGAACAGTGCCCACATATAACAATTGAAAAAACAGAACCAAATTAAAGACATTGTCTATGCAAGGTTATTTATATATTCATCAAACAAAATAATGGAAGCCTGAGGAATTTAAATCTTAATAGGCAACAGGGATTCAAAAAAGACCATACTGCTGACCCAATGTAGCATTTTACTGAATACAGGTCTTATTCTTTGGCGTTTTTTAAAAATTTTTTTGGTGAGGAAGATTGGCCCTGAGCTGACATGTGTTGCCCCAATCTTCCTCTTTTTTTAATTTTTCCTTTGCAAAGCTCCAGTACATAGTTGTATATCCTAGTTGTAAGTCATTCTAGTTCTTCTCTGTGGGATGCTGCCACAGCATGGTTTGACGAGCGGTTTGTAGGTCCGTGCCCAGGATCCCAGCCCAGGCTGCTGAAGCTGAGCACAGGAACTTAACCACTCAGCCACTGCGCCAGCCCCTCATCCCTTGTTTTGAACTGTATCTAACTTAATCTGCAATGATAGATTCTAGACCTACAGGGTCACACCAGTGTTCCCAAAATCTCGAGAATGATGTCGCCACATTGCATGATACAGATCCTCAACACCTACATCCAAATTCCCTTCAATTCAGTCAAGTAGCTGAAACTGCAACAGTAAAGTAATCAAAATCATTGCTGATACGCCTCCTCACCTGTGCCGTCTTCAATTCCACCGGCATCCCATTTCTGAGGGCCCATGCCCTAGACTTCTCGAATAATACATGTTTTGTGAAAGATACCTCATTATCAGAGGGTAACGTGCAAAGTCCCTGGTTTGCCATTGGTACAAAAGCGTTCATGCTCTGAACCATACTTCTGATCCCATTTATCGTCTCTCCTCTCTTCCCAGCGCACCCCAGATGAATGAACGGCAGAATGGATGTGGCAATCGATTCAGCAATGTGATGGAAAGCTGATCCTGCACGAGAGTCACGATAGGGCACAGTTTCACCCCAGTTTTCACCTGTGCTTTCTGGAGTCCATCTCGTTGCTTTAGACTCAAAATCTTCTGTGTCCTGTGCTGATAATCATGCTGTGGCATATTTCCGATGCATTCCCAAGGATCAAGGTGCTTTTCCCAAGATCGTCCAAGCTGGTAGAAGAATTAAACACAGAAAATGTGATGGGCGCACAGATCAAAGTGAATGTGATTCTGGTCTCTTGCCTGTTGCTGCCGTCACCCCACAGATTGGAAGAACTTAATCTACCATAGTTGTTAACTAAGTATATTGGCTAGGACCCCAAGTCATCTTCCAGTGAGACCAACAGGGGAAAAATCAGGCCTCCAGAACACGAACTTCCATGATCAGATTTTTAAAATATTAACTTTGCAGTATGGATGCCAGCTGGGGACTGCCAGCTTTGGGGCTAGCAGCAAAGCAGACGTGATTCTCCTCAGCTCGCAGCCTTACGTCCATTTGTTCATTTACGTCAAGGCAGCGGAGAAAATGAATATTTAGCTTTTATGAGTTTAAGCAGTTCAATCTATGAAGATGTTGGAATGATTACAAAATGTAGTATTAATGACAAAAATAATTCTTAAAAATGAGACAAACATTGCAGACACATAACACGATATTGTTGATTACGCCCATCCAAAATGCCAGATTATATCAACCAAAACTAGGATGCGACGAAATAGAATCCTACTAAATTTTTCATCTGACCCAAAATCAAGTCAATAATTCTTTCCATTAAAATTTAATGTAATTATTGACATTAAAATGAGGAAAAAAAGTCCAGGTATTTTTAATTTACAAGTAAATGCTAGAAGGAAAATAAGAAGCTATGCATAAGGAGCACAGTGGGCACCACCCAGATGCCCTGTTAGAACTGAGGCATTCATTCCCCCAGCTGCTGGGAGCATTGCCTACTGCAGGCTCAAGGCTCGGTCTCTCCCCAGGAAGTGCCCTCAGCTGGAAGAGCTTCCTTGCCCCTAGGTCATGACCATACGACCCTTCTCCAGGGGTGGCCCACATCCATGACTGGACAATGCAGTAGAAGAAATGCCTACCCACCTGCCAACCCTCCCACTCCCACCCTCTACACTTCAATTTGGAATGTTCTACAAGGGCCATTCCAATCTCGGAGCTCCATGTAGCTTAGGCTAAGGCCTCCATTGCAGCTGCAACAGCTTCTCTCTCAGCCCAGTCCTACCTCTCTCATGCTGTTAGAGACTCTGGTTCTGAGTGCTTTTTCCTAGCAAATTTCCTGCAGGCAGATCTCCACCTATTTCCGGGGAAACCTGACCTATGACAATGCGATTTCCAAGTCACTATAGGGTATAAAGGGCAAAATAAACCTACTCCTTACAGCTAATGCAAACTTTAAAAATGAAACCAAAACAAAATTTTTGTAAGTAGTATTTTTTTTACTGAAAGCGTGAAACGAGCTAGCAGATATATGTGTATGTGTTAAAATCTCCTCTATTAGAAAACAAAGACTCCCCAACTGGTCAAAAAATAAAATCCAACTGTGTGCTTATTTTGTCAGTGTTATTTATTTCATAGATGTCAAGTGAGGTCATCTTGACCTTTTGAAATTAAAATAAAACTGGCTCGAGCCTTTAGTTCCAGTCCTTAGGGAAACACAGTGCCCTTCTCTGATGTTTCCGCAAATTCCTGGGCACTTACGTTCCCCTCCTCACTTCTGTTCACCTCTGGACACTTGATCTCATTCATGACTCATTGTGGCTGTTTTCTTCTCTCCACGCTGCACCGCCCCATCTCAAGCCCTCTCCTCGGTTCCCCCACAAACCTCTAACACAAAGCAAAGGTTTGTTGTTTCTGCTCGTGGGTTGGGGTGGGGGAGATTGTTTTAAGTCACAGCAATACAAACAACTTAAAATTGGCTTTGCTATTCCTGTTCTTAAAGTTCCTTGATGACCAGAAGCAGCACATCATGGCTCCCGTGTGAAGGCAATTCCCTCTCTAAACAGAGATCCGAGATCAACCAAGAAAATGCTTTCCAGGACCAGCTCTGCGGCTTAGTGGTTAAGTTCGAGGGCTCCCCTTTGGTGACCCAGGGTTTTGCCAGTTGGGATCCGGGGCGCAGAAATGGCACCACTCATCCAGGCTGTGTTGAGGCGGCGTCCCACACAGCACAACCAGAAGGACCTACAACTAGAATATACAGCTACATACTGTGGGGGCTTTGGGGAGAAGAAGAAGGGAAAAAAAGGAGATTGGCAACAGATGTTAGCTCAGGTGCCAATCTTTATAAAAAAAAGAAAATAATTTCCATCCCAGTTTTTCTAATTAGAAAATATTTGAAAGCTACTGAAAAGTCCAACAATAGGAGAAGAGTTATTTAAATTAGGGTAGTTCCATATGGTGGGAAAGTGAAGAGCCATTTTCATATTTCATTTTCAAAGAATAACGACTTGGTAAAATGCTCTTGGCATTATGAGTAAAAATAGTCAAAAACATAATTGTCTATAGATAATTGTGTATATTTTGTGATCCAAAATAGATATAATTTCATGTATATTCACAAAAGAGATTGAAAGGAAATACACTAAATTGTTAACGGTAGTTCCTAGGAAGTGAGATTAATGATGGCATCTATTTTATTTTTTATACTTCTCTGAATTTTTTAATTTTTAAAAAATGAATACATACTACTTTTAGAATCGGGCCAAGTAAACAAAGCTATTTTGAAATATTTATTGGAGATTTACTGGGGGGATTAGAAATACCTAATTATTTTAGGGGAGGGAAAAAAACTGTCATTTATATTAATTATACCATCTCAAGCCTGTTAATTTCCATCAGGATGGGAAACCAGGGCCTTCTGAAAAGGATGGCAGTGTTTCCCACTGCTCTCCTGAGCATTTGTTGAAAGAGAGAGGAAGAGAAGCAGCAAGAAAGAGATTTACACCTGGAAAGTAATAAAAATTGATTAGTTCTATGTTCTGAAATTCACAGATGGTTGAATATTTGTATTAAATACAATTTATTTGTCCTCATAATGCAATTGCATTAAGTATCATTTTTTATTAAGTAGAAAGAATATTTCTATTATTACATATGCAGTTTAATTTATTTTTTTGTAAATTCTCTATCAAATGATGGCATCCATTTATGTTGTTTTTCTAAGAGAACATAAAATCTAAATTACAGAAACAAGCATACTTACAGCGTGGCAATGGCCTTTATGAAATGATCGTAGTAGTAACTATGTCACTGATAACCGTCAATATAAGACCAAGGAAGGACAGCGTTTCCCCTTTGCTGACAGGACAGGACTCTCTCTCCACATTATGCATTTCCCCCTCCTTCCCCCTCCCCCACACCCCCTCCCACCACCTTGTTCTCTGTGACATCACCCTGCCACGGTGGGCGGGACCGGCGGAGATGAGCCATCTACTGTCCTCAGAACATGAAGGCACTGATTACATCCATTGAGAAAGGACTGGTTTCTAATTAATAAGCCAGTGTTCATTAAGAAAACAAAAGATGAATAATGGGCTACAACAGCTCTTATTAAGATGTCTTATCTTTCCTACAGTCTGAGGAAATGGAAAGAAGAAAAGCATTTTTACTAATTAGCTTCAGATTCTCCTTTCATCCACTAATCAAAATCTATTAGGAAGGAGAAGAGGATTTCTTATTGTGGCACTTTTCTCATCTCAGCCAGCAACGCCCTCCTTGTCAAGGCAGAGCTTGACTGGTTGGATCCGAATGGGGCTGTGTTCCCCAAAGTGGGGTTGGGGCCACTTCAACTCTAAAGTGTTAATTGCACATCACAGGCCTGCCCCGGAAATTCTGACTCAGCAAATCCAAAGTGAAGCCAGAGAACGCTCATATTTTACAAGCTCGACACTGATCCCCACCCACGTGAAAAGTTGAGAACCACATACAAATGCTATCTGATGGTTTTAACAAACTCCGGGCAATTTTGAAGTGTGAGGAACTGGTAACTTCCTAAGGTCCACGGTTCCCTGGACCTCTATTTTTACAGATAAAAACCTACAGAATGTTTTTAACCCTTTAACAAAACATCTTGCTTTAGGAAATACAGTCCTTAGGAAACTGGTGAGAAGGATGGAGATCTCAAGTCGTCTAACGTCTCTGTCCAGCAGGGCTGAACTGAAATTTGGCGGCATCGTGAAGACGATGTTTTTGTTCCATTTGTTCAGAATCATTAATGATAATGGCAAATATTTCCAGAACACATTGTTTAACGTCTATTTCAAAGTATCATTTAATGTGACTGAATAAATCAATATCAGGATTAGCCATAATTACTACACATCTGTACGTGTGTATGGGCACTTCAGCCCTCATGTCAATTGTAAGACCTAAACCACAGTTTTAAAAATGCTTCTAATTTTTTATGATTATAAACGTAATACAGAGTTATTCAAACACGACAGAAGTATTTAAGGTAGAAAGTGAAAATCTACTATAATTCCCAAAGCAAACAACCAATAGACAAATGGGTTAGATAGATGGATGGATAAATAGATAGGTAGAGATGTGTGTACATGTACGTGTGTATATCCAACTTTTTCTATCCATACGGAACATTCTTAACATAAATGGAATTCTATAAAACATAGTGTTCTGCAATTTGGCAATACCTGTTGGAGTTGTTTCCGTGGTAATACCTCGTTCTTTCTAACAGCTGGATGGTATTCCACTAAATGGCCATATGATGGTTTATTTACTCATCCTTGTGAGTAATTGGGTTGTTCTATGTTTTTATTTATTACAAACAATGCTGCAAGGAACATTCTAGATCTTATTTAGTCTTCAGATTTCTCCTTATTTACTTCTTCCTCAACATCTCTTCCCTGACCCCTAAATTAGGTTTACTTTCCTATTACACTCATGGCACCACAAATCCCTGACCCAACTCAAATTTTACACGTACCTGTGTGATTATTTGATTCAAGTCTGAGGCCTCTACTAGCCTGAGAGCTTCGTGAGTTCAGGGCTGTGTCCGTTTTGCTTCCCGTTGCATGCCCAGGGCTCAGCACAATGTCTGGAAAATGGGTGCCTCTTACTAAGTATTTTTCAAAGGAGCTAATAAATCTCTTTGCCCATTTCAAAAGTGGTTTCAGTAGGATAAACTCCTACATAAAACTTATTGGAAAGACTGAACTGAAAGGCATGAATACTGTATTATTTTCAATGGATTTTAGTTCATATTCTTAAAGATATTTTCCATTATAGAAAAGCTTCACTTAGCTTTTCTAGATAAGGAATACAATGTATAACTATAGTAGTGTATATTAACATATGATTTTAAAATTAGTATTCATATACTGAGGTTATATACTAGAGATTTTTACTTATGGGGTGCATAATCAGAGTCCTGGGGTTGCCACAGTAGAGGAAAGAGATCCTTGAAGAAGGCAACTAGGCCCCAGAAGCAGGGCCTTCAAAGCCCTCCACCATCTCAACTCAACCTTCCCTTTCAGCCCTGCCTCCCAGTTTTGGGCTCATGTAATCTGTGTTTGAGCTTTGTCATAAATGTTTTTCTTCCCCTGCCCACCCTTATGCTTCGCCTCCATCCTACTTCTGTTCATGCCTGGAATGCACTTCTCTCCACTCCTCCTGTCTTTTCAATGCCAGATCAAATGTGATTTCTACCATAAAGCTTTCAGGATGCCCAAATCAGAATTAATTCCCTTCTCTTGTGTGCTACAGATCCCTTTCTTCCTGGCACTATTATAGCACTTACTATGTAGGGACTTACATTATAGTTATTAGTTAGCCTCTCTCAATTACATTGCAAATTCCTTTAGAGTGAGGAGACATTGTGACAGATGATAGATCAATCGATCAATTGATAGATAGATAAATAGATATAGATGACAGATATAGAGGTAGATGACAGATGAAAAATAGATATGATAGATAGATATAAATGATAGATATAGAGAGACAGAGACATAGATAGATAAATAGATAAATAGACAGATAGATTAGATAGGTAGGTAGATAGATAGAGATGGATTGATAGATAGATGTAGAGATAGATAGATAGATGATAGATTGATGATAAAGACTCTTTATGAATGAACCATTCATTTATTTATGAAACAAATACTTATAGGGTGCCTTCGAATGTGCTGGACACTATCTTTAAAGAACCTTAGTCTATGGGGCTGGCCCCGTGGCCGAGTGGTTAAGTTCGCACGCTCCGCTGCAGGCGGCCCAGTGTTTCGTTGGTTTGAATCCTGGGCGCGGACATGGCACTGCTCATCAGACCACGCTGAGGCAGCGTCCCACATGCCACAACTAGAAGGACCCACAACGAAGAATATACAACTATGTACTGGGGGGCTTTGGGGAGATAAAGGAAATAATAAAATCTTTAAAAAAAAAAAAAAAAAAAAGAACCTTAGTCTAAAGCAGAGGGAATGGATGACAGCAAATGTCTAATGACATATTGCATTAGATATCCCAATGATTTGCAATTGAGTTTCTGACTCAATTTATGTTTCATTACACTGTCTGATACTTTCTTAATGAGGCTCTCAATGTATTCATTAATTTATAACATTATCATTTTTACATTGTAAATTCAGGTTTTAAGAAGTTCATTGACCCCTCAAAATTATATCTGCCCGTAAGGCTGGTAACTTCTCAAGTGGGAGGAAGTTTTGTTTGGAACCACTAAACGGCCAGGCTTTACCGCGAGGTCCAGTTAAGAGCAAGGTAGAGCATGATTCCTCATTGTTCTTTTTAAAATATCAGTGCAGTAACCCTCTATGAAAGCAATAGAAAATGCTACCTCTACAAATAAAATAGAGTGAGGTTTGATAAGTCTTGGCTTTCTCCTTCGCTACCAGTCAAACCACCCATCACAGTTGGGTCCATCTTTGACTTTATCTCAAAACTTGATTAGAAAGCTTACTTCTATAAAACCTCTCCTAGTTTGGGCCAAGTTTCTGGGAATTCAGACCATTTTGGCAACAAAATGATTTTGTGGTTTCCTATGGCTGCTAGTGTCCTCCCACTTCTAAAGCCAATAATCAGGCTATTTACCCTATTTAGGCTGTTTGTGGTGAGTAATCAAATATAGATTATCTTTCTAGTAATATCCCATTCTCTCTGACTCTCTTGCCTCTCCTCACCTCACACAGTCTAGAGAGACCAAATAATCACATTGTTATACTGAGTAGAGAGGACAGAACTCTTTGGTGAAATCTTTTCAAATCCTGAAGGTTTCTGTACACCAAACTTTCACTGTACTCTTAACTATTTATTCCTTCTCGTTTGAGAGAGAAAAAACGCACTTTCCTTCTCTATTAGTCAATCCCTCCTTTAGCCATTTTTTTTACAAAGTTACTTCCTTTATTCATTCCTTAATAATCTGCAATTTTTAAACTACTCGGCAGCATACTTTTCAAATAGCATGTAGTCATCACTCAAATCATTAAATAATTTTTAGATAAACAAAAATATATTTCGAACTTCTTCTGGATTTTAGATTTTCAAACAGAAATTTATCTCACTACCCTCTGGAAACGAAACGAAAATAAAAACTTATATTGTTGCTTTTCTCCATTCTTGCCATCCATTAAATATTATTAAATGTTAGATGCAGCCCTGGTTTCTAAATACTCGTTCAAAGATGCTATGCTCTTATCCATTCACCTTTCATTCATTAATCAATAAACGTTTCCATTGGCTCTGTGGCAGGCACTGAGTTAGGCACTGGAATATACCATGGAGATCCCAGAGTAGTGGAGTGATGGACCAAATGTATCACCCTAACAGCTGGGACTCTGAGCAGAACCTTAAATCCCTGAGCTAACTTTCTGCCAGACCCAACCCAAATCTGTTCCTGCCTTTTCGTCACTGGGAATCCTAACACGTGCTGGGAAAACCAGTGTCGTTACTAACATGTTTCATATACAACATATATGCAGCTGTTAATTTCTTGAAATTTTCACTTAAAACCATTTACAAAGAAAAAACTCGCCCCCCAAAACTTTATATTCTAGTATTTCCTGTTTGGAAATGTACTTCCTTAAATCCTGTGGATTGGCAAAATTCATTTGTTGGCTTGTTTAATTAGTGAGGAGTGACTCCCTTAATGTTTTTATAAAACAGGAAAATATGGCTGTACCAGTGAAATTTCTCAGATGTGTAAAGTTCTAGTGCAAAATGCCTAGAAACGTTAATATCAACAAAAAACATCAACAACAACAAAAAGTGATTATCACAGCAAGAAAGAGAGGAACCTAGTACCATATAGCTAGAGATGTAAAAACCCCTTTAATTTTTATAAATGATCCCAAAGCCCCGTTTGTAGAGTCTCCC